AGAGTTTTTCTTGTTACTTTGACATCTTGAAACATCGGATATGACGCTTTGCAAAAGCATGACCACATCATCAAAAAGATCTTTGATATATATAGACTAGTTTTCAATTATCATCATAATCATAATTGATTAAAGCACTTCGTTTACCGAACAACATATCATATATTCAGTCGAAGATGAGCCATGACATTAACCTCGAAGCAAAAAAGCTTTGCATTTAAGAAGCATCTGATGATAATGCTTTCAACAAACCATGCTCCAAAAAATTGCCATCTCAATTGCATCTATATCACGTCTAACAGGAAAAAATAAAAATAAAAAGAATTGACCTCTTCTCTACAAGAATCAATTTGTACTAGCTAACCTAAAATAGTAAACATTTACAGTTAAAAGACGTGGTGGGTATCTACAAGGTTGGCTACCCAGAATACATGGACGATTCGAAAGAACAGAGAAGGCATAAAAATGAACTTATTGGCGCTTTCTCCGCATTGATCTGTGCAAATGCCATGACCATGTAGCCAATAATATGACAAATCCAATCCCAACAGACGTCCAGAAAATCACTAACCACTTGGGCATGGAATTAGGAAACAATCCTGAAACATAGTTAAATAAGTCGAAGAAGAATAATTTAATGATTCCAAAACATTGATTAGCAAAATCCGAAAGGTCTATGCCAAAAAAAGAAAAAAAAAAGAAAAAACCACACCATGTCCAAACTTGATACAAATGAGGAGTTCCACAATGCAGATAGCAAGAGAAAGCCAACAAAAAGCTCCCACCTTTTTCACTGGTTTTCTGAAAATGGTAAGCAAGCAGAAAAGAGAGAAATCGAGAAGATTATCTTAAAAGAATATCAATATCAGCATAACATATGGAGTATCAAATTTCGAAAGATACCTGTCTTGTAGGTAAGAATTGTATTCACGAATGGTTGGTATTGCAATAAGCCACCACAAAATTAACCTATATACTATGATTGGATTTCGAGGAGGAATCCAAAGACAAAATTTCATGAAGAATGTATTAAGCTCCACAGTCAAGAAAACAATACAAAGGCTGAGAACTTGAATAAATCGGAATGGACCAAGGAGAGGGTGCCATTCATCTTTGTCCCACCTTGCAGGTGTAAATTGTCCCAGTGTTCTTTTGACCTGAACGGGAGATGGAGAAAGTCGCAATAAGTGCCAGCTTTGTACAGATCATAATCAACAATTATTGACCTTATAAGGCCCCAATATAAGCTATGAGGGTGTTTGGTGGGGATTAAAAACAGATTTTTAGTACACTTTGATAGAAGTTTTTACAAGTTGTGGGACCCATGAAAGATGTTAATAATAATTGTTTTGACTTTGACTCAAATTAAAATCTGATTAAATTTTGAGCCAAACAGGGGCAAGAGCTCCTTTGTAATCTAAAACCCAAAGCTCAAAACACCGTTTGACAAAGTCAGTATATTAGAGAACACGAAAAGAAAATGTTGGCAATAAACATACTTTGCCTATGATGTTTGGCTGCCTGCTGATACCAACCCACTCATAAGTTTTACCGTCGAAGTACCGAACAGTACGCATTCCTGCCCATATACCTAAGAGCAAGAAGAAAACATGTTACATTCAATTTGAATGCCTGGAATGTAGGTTCTTATGGCCAATCATCAATCCAATCTTCTGATAACAAATTAGCATCGGACATGGTGCATCCACGATTCTTCATTATATAATATATTAGTGTAATACCACAATGGCAGATATGTAAGTACGGAGGGGGTAAACTTACAATTTGCCTTTGGAACGCATTTGATGGAAACTATCGAACACAGAATCGTATGAAAAAATTGACATCAAAATTGGTCTACCGAGGCAAAGTGGCACTTAATTTGTTTGTCCCTGTTAATTTTACTCCACAATTTTTTCATGATCATTGATAAAGGACAAGTAACTACTACCTCCATATGGCTTTTGACCCCACCAAAAAAAAAGGGGCAATCAAAGGCAGAAATTCGAAGACAAGGAAAGATACCTGAACTACCATATTATATGAAGTTCCTTTAGGAAATCAACTTAAAGGTTCTACTTCAAACAAAAGTCTTAACACTTCATCCAGGTGAAGTTACCCTATGTAAGATTATCGTGACTGAGAGGCCCCAATTTTTGAATGGGGGGACATCAAAGGCCTCTGCCATTTCATTCCTTGGACGGCTAGAGAGGTCGGAGAGTTTTTGGTTTCTTCATGTTGTCAAAGAGATTCGGTTGGTAGGAACTGATAGGTTTGAGAATAATAAAAGGATGTGTTATTGTGTAGTGAGAAGTGGGTGCTCAAACTCTTAAAATTCTGTCACTGCTTTCCGGCCATTTGTAGCTACCACCTTATGCCTTCTAGAATAAGTGTGTCTAATGGGGGGCTTATCATATACCAACTAAAAATCGTAATCGTTCTTCATTTGATTTCAAACTTATTTTCTTGATAAATAAAATATTATCTCAGAGATTTATTGTTTAAAATCTCACACTGTGTATAATGAACCAGAAATCCACCCCAAGCCCCAAACAATAAAATAAGGTTTTTGATCAAGAAAATCACTGAAAACATGCGGCATCATGCAGTGGGGTTACTGCATAAGCTTTCTCAATCTAATTTCTGTGCCAAATCTAGAGAGTTCATAAGCCTCATTGTGACCATATAATACATATTTATTATGCACGTTATGATGCAGAATTGTTCTGAATACTCCATTTAATCAAATCACCGAGAGGACCCAAAACCTTATTGGGTTAACCCATGGTTTCCAACTTTAGTGGACATTACAAGAATGATTTGGTCAACAAAATCAGAATGTTTGATGACATCCAAAAGAAGGTACCGAGAGATGCAAGTCATTAACATTTCATAAATGACGAGTTCATTAATGGAAAAAGAGCATTAACCCCTTCGGGTGCATAAGTAAATAAAAATAATTTTCCCCATATTAAGGCATCCAGATCATGTTGGATCGGGAACTAGAAAACAGAAGGAATTACAGAAACACTTCTATCACAAGAAAATAATCTGAAGGAAGCAACAAAGCTGAAATAGGACTTTTAACACTATTGGGCTATGTTCAAAAAGAGGCCCAGCTTCTGCAACTTCTTCCAGCCAGTTAGCTGTATTTTGATATTTGTAGCAGAATCAATAAGGCAGAAAACTACACTTGCCTAAAAAGGCTGAAGAATTATTCTTGTGCATTATTGGTGAACTAAAATGAAAAGGAATGCAAAAGCTTCTAGTAAACGAATAATATAGCTAAAAATTAGAATGCTTTTCTTCCATATTTTGTTGCATCCTAGTCGAATTTTTCCTCTAAAGTTCTCTTATACCTTGCTTATCGCATAGAAAGGCATACAATTAACTATCTTTGTTAAAGGCAAGTGTCGACTTAGCATTGCCTTAGGTATAGTAATGCTCAACGTTATTCCCTTCCAAACAAAGATGGCTTCTTCCCCATAGAGGAACACCCAGAAATAGCTAAGGAAGTTTAAATTTTCAGTGAATATCAATAGAAAATAACTGCCACATGTAATGTATTCACTCAACACAAGTTGCAGACATTAAAGGAAAAGATGTGTTGGTCGTTCATGTTCAGTGATGGACACATTCATGACAACACAAACAAGAAAACAGCCCATGCCAATGGTAACACATTCTTTGATACACAGTAGCAATCCAGGACAGTGGGCTCACAATATTAGCAAATCAAATTTAGATAAAAATTACGTCAGAAATGACCAATGGACCAATGGAATGAAGTATTTGTTTATAGTCCATGACAATAAAACAACCATAATTAAGATAGTACGCCTCGTAAAAAGAAGAATAGGGTCAAAATGCTCACCGAACCAATTGCAGATTAATATATCAAGGATAATGCTATCCCACCAGCATTCATTGAAGTTAGGTAACATGTGGCGAAAGGTCAGCTGAAAACACAAGCATAAAAATCACGTTAATGTATAAAAGATATCTTGCTAAAACTAAACACGGGTCAATAAAATAGAAAACAAGAACAAGGAACTTCATAAAGACTGACCTCCATCAACTCAAATCCAATTGACAGTACCCACAAGAGTGGCTGATTACGTATCATTATAGCTTTTCCCCACCAACCAAGAATATGAGCGATAACAAACTCATCGAAAAGTGTCTCCTACAAAATTGAAATAATTATAGAGGAATTCAGCTCCAGTGGACACTTGTTAAGAGCATAGAGATCATGGAAAGATGAAATAATTGAAGAAGAAATAAAAATAACAAGGAAAAGGTTTATGAAAGTAGAAATCATACATAAACATTCTTAAACCTGCTTGTAGGACTTTCAGGTACATAAATTCGACAATCAGCACCATATGATCTTTCAGGAAGTTCTACATCAAAAAAATACACATAGTTATGATCCCCAATTATCTAAAACAAGTGATAATTACCGTAGGACAAACATTATGCATTGTCACCAATTGGTTGAACAATCAGAAAGTCCAAATTTCTTACCAACACCAAGATCGGGATGCAGGTATTTCATGAACAGCCGAGCATGATCACGCTTCTGGAAATTGAAGTGAAAATAACAACTTCATTAACAGTTACTGGTCATCGCAATTAACCAATAATTAACAAAAAGTTGGGATTTATCATGAAGTAAAATTCATTAAAAAAAAAAAAAAAAAAAAAAAAACTGATGATTATCCCAAAAGCAGTTCCTAGATATATATACAACCATATTAAGGAAAAAAGAGGAATGTTAGCGTTAGCATCAACTATAATCTGTACCCACTACATATCATAAACAGAGCAGTGATCACTCAAAAAAATTCTCAATTATCCCACTATAGTATCAGAGGATCTTTCTATGGTACATGACTCCGTAATCTGATATAACAGCAACCAACAAAGACTGGGAAACCCTGTATAACAACTCTAACCTTGTCATTACACCAGTATGCTAAATCTATGACTTCAATTTCTAACTTACATAATTTTTTTCATTTAACAGGGGAAAAAGAAAGAGATTGTACCATCAATTGAATCCTCTAAACGTCAATAATACTCCACAATCCAGAGAAGAAAACCTCAATATTAATTAAATAACATAGTTATACGTGCCATGGAAGATGTGAAAAAAATAAGTGCTAGCTGAAAAAAGAAACTGACCTGAAAAAGAAAAAACGTCAATGCAACAAGGTAAATAACAGCCAATCCATGAACAAGGCGCCAAATTGCAGGATGTGGCCTGATAAGTACCCTGTGCACCAATGTATGAGCAAAACTTAAGTAAAGATAAATGAAAATACATAAACGACTATGCAGGTCAATAGGAAACTTCAAGCATGATATAACGAAGGAGTTTCAATGATCTAACTTCATCCCCATTATTGCTCCCACATGATGAGAGACAAAGTTTATCGTGCAGTAATGTGTTCCTCACATAATCCTAGCTGTAACCCCAACTATTATCCTCGAAGCTGCTAAAAGCCTAATTCAATTTGGAATTATTTTGTGGCACCTTTAAAGTGAAAGGCAGGGACAGCTATTCCATTTTGGGTTGCTAACAACAAATGAACTAGAATAAAAGGGAAGAACTGGAAAAACAATGAGCACCAACCAAGGTTACCTTTATTTAGAATCAGGGCCAACCAAAGGTAATTTAGTGATTGAAAATCTGAAAAGAGACTCTTGGGCCTTCATTTTTTCTTTAATGATAAGAAAAATATTCGACTTGGATCTTCAAATAGACGAAGAAATGAACCACACATAATCCAAAATACACACACACACACATATGTTTATAGGGAATGAGGCTCACCTTATCGTAAAGTTGTATTGACGAAAAAAGACTTATAGCTAGAACGAAAGACCATATACACAGAAATGGATACTTGGTTACAAAAATAAGGAACAAAAAGAAAATACTGGGAACATCTCTTTCCACGCACATCCATTAATGCTCAGCCGCTAAAGAACCCACGGGATAATGATATTTCAGCATTTATCTGCTGTCTTCATATCATATTTCTGAACCTCACATAGAATGAATTCTGAAACATGTCCATATTTGGTTTTGGGTGAGTATATGCATGACACATGCTACAGCTACTTACAATTCTATTGCAAAGAATTGAAAGAAAATTGTATACATTCAAATGCCAAATCTAGGTATCTGATGATTAGCTAGACAGCCATGGATAAGTGTGGGACAAGGCATCATTCTGTTGAGTTCTGAAATGAGATAAGCTTAGAGAACGCATCTTCCTTTCAGTTTTATGTATCTAAAAACATACTCATCATCTCAAATCAATAATCAAAAATTACAGAACTTAGCAGCGATAGCATAAAAAAGGTGCCTCCAAGGCCAAAAAAATATCACTTGTTCCGAGAGAAGGTAAGAAAGAAAATAACTTACGTGGAAGGAGCTTGCAACAAGCAGTAAGCAAGAAACATGGCAATCATTGCCCATATACCTCTATCAGATGCAATAAACAGCCATTAGAATTTTTATGAAAAATAAATGCACAAACAATGAAAAGAAGGCATGTAGCACATTAATAAGTATGTGTGCACCTTTTCACAGAAGTAACCAGATCACTAGTTGAATTGGGTTCAGGATCAAGTGCACCACTTGCCCATCTAGGATGAATTTTAGGATACAGAAGATTAGTAAATGAGACTAAACCTTCCGACACTAATGCCACATGTTTCAGCATCATGTCATTTATTATTTTCAGAATAAAATGAATAATTATGAATATCAGGAATGTTGACAGAATGAACAAATGTAATAAAGTCAACAAAAATAATAGGAAAATTTCTCACAGTATAGGGCAGAATAGAATTGGTCATTTAGTGAACGGTCATAAAATCAGTTAAATTGCAATACAGAAACAAGCTGCTCGAGAATAAACAACTTACATCAGAAAACAAGCACCAATAAGTAACAATGTAATTGTACGAGGCTTATATGCCCAGGCAGTCCAGGGATCAAGCTCCTCTTCCACATCTAATGAGTTCACATCACCATTTTGATGAGTGACAGGATCCTTCCATCTAGCTCTCCTATGTGCTTTAAGTTCCATAACCTAAAACTTACGAGATTCAGCTTCCTCACTGCAGATCAGGAGATTCAACAAATGATACTTTTAATGATTGTAATATGTAACATTAGCAAAGAAAAGGACTGAACATATACGTTCTCCAGACTAAGTCAATAGACATATTATTATTAGCCTACATCACTAACGGACGGCAGGCAAAATGTTAGTAGCTGGAAACCAATGCATTTATTTTATTCCCTGGACTAGAAATGCAATAGAGAGATTATCCATTGTGACCAACCAAAATTAAAAAGATCCTTTTTGCTAAACAACATTGTGTTAAATAGCATTACAACAAATTCTCTCCGTGTCTAAAGCAGTAAAGCATTATCCATAAAGACCAGCCAAAGTAAAGGCTAGTAAGCAAAGTAGCATAACGAGCATCGTTATCACCTTGTAAGGCCCCAAATAAGTTTGTCACTACGAACTTCAAGTCCAATAACAATAATTTCATGGTATATAATCTACGTTCTATGGAAAAAAGAAAAAAATAACTGCAGAATCTAGTCATTCGAAAGGACCATAGCCACAACCCAACATCTTCTCAGATACTGCATCGTAAAAAAATACACAGCCAATTGAAAATAAGTTATGGTGTAACTCAAAAGGTACTCAAACAAGTTAACCAGCATCAAAATATCAATTAGCCAAGGACAAACATTTCTTAACTTTTGCTTGGTAATATGCCTCAAATTAACACAACAAAACCACTCTACACTAACTTTGGAGAATTCTAATTGTTTCGGGAGCTTTCCTATGTAGTTCACTGTGTAATTGATAATACCTCATAGTTAAGGAAGATAAAAAAAGATCACACAACAAAACAAAAGGATTGAACCCAAATGCTTCCATATAATAATTCCCTTATAAAACAATGTGGAAATACGTGAAGAAAATCAGTAGTAACTGTTAATATTGTGGCTGAAAAATAGATAACTTTCTAGATTTGATCCTTCTTTTTTTTTTTTTTTTTTTTTTTTTTTTTTTTTTTTTTAAATAAGATTGAGGTCACCATCAGCCATTAAATTAATAAAAACCCAGTAAATTCGAAAAATCCATGTCTTAGCATGCAAACAAAAAATCCTTTCCCAATTGAAAAGTCGATGAATTTGTGAAAATTGTGCTGACCCAGAATTCAAAACACACCAAATAACGTCCACTGCATTCGAAAAGTCGCAGATTCCCAGAATAAGGGAAAAGAAATCCAAACTCAATAAAAATCTTTGTGAACAGCGAGAGCCCTACAAAATACATGTATGTAATATATATACACTTTTACATATGTACATATACATTATAAATTATATAGGTACATTTTTCTCTGCGTGTGCGCAAATAAAGACAGATTATAAAGAAATGATTTGGAGAGAGAAAAAGAGCGATATGGATTTCAAAAGCCGAGGTGTATGGAATTTGTTTTGCTTCAACTTACGTAGAGAAAGGCTGACAATCGATCCCCAGCCACAAGATTAGATGATGAAACAATCTCAACCGCCAGATCAGACACAGATATACAGAGAGAAAGAGAGAGAGCTATCAGTTATCTAAGAAGAAGAAGAAAGAAGAGGGTAATAATAGCTGAAAGCCTGAAACTAAAAGATAACTCTCACTCTCTATCTCTCTGTGAATATACAGGTGTCTATACAAGTTAGGGTTTTATCATTTATGCTCATATATAAATGTGAATTTGACCAAAAAAGCGAGGGAAAGAAAGAGAAAGGTCTGCTTTTTTTGGGCTGCTCTCTCTCTCCGTGGCAGCACGGCAGCAGCGGCAAAAAGGCCGTGATGTGTAAAATGGTACGGTGGTCAAAGGAAGAGAGCTTGAAGATTTGGGGGTTTTAAGATTATTTAAGAATTTGGATTCATGATCCTTTTTGCTAAACAACATTGTGTTAAATAGCATTACAACAAATTCTCTCCGTGTCTAAAGCAGTAAAGCATTATCCATAAAGACCAGCCAAAGTAAAGGCTAGTAAGCAAAGTAGCATAACGAGCATCGTTATCACCTTGTAAGGCCCCAAATAAGTTTGTCACTACGAACTTCAAGTCCAATAACAATAATTTCATGGTATATAATCTACGTTCTATGGAAAAAAGAAAAAAATAACTGCAGAATCTAGTCATTCGAAAGGACCATAGCCACAACCCAACATCTTCTCAGATACTGCATCGTAAAAAAATACACAGCCAATTGAAAATAAGTTATGGTGTAACTCAAAAGGTACTCAAACAAGTTAACCAGCATCAAAATATCAATTAGCCAAGGACAAACATTTCTTAACTTTTGCTTGGTAATATGCCTCAAATTAACACAACAAAACCACTCTACACTAACTTTGGAGAATTCTAATTGTTTCGGGAGCTTTCCTATGTAGTTCACTGTGTAATTGATAATACCTCATAGTTAAGGAAGATAAAAAAAGATCACACAACAAAACAAAAGGATTGAACCCAAATGCTTCCATATAATAATTCCCTTATAAAACAATGTGGAAATACGTGAAGAAAATCAGTAGTAACTGTTAATATTGTGGCTGAAAAATAGATAACTTTCTAGATTTGATCCTTCTTTTTTTTTTTTTTTTTTTTTTTTTTTTTTTTTAGAAAAATGGGGTTCAAACAACCCTTAAAATCAAACTTTTAGTATATTTTGATAGAAATAGATAGAATATGTGGATTTAAAGTTTTGGAACCCATAAAATATGTAGTTAAAATTAATAGTCAATTTTGACTTAGATTAAAATCTAGACTTTAATTGATGCCAAACAGGGGCTTAATATAATTATAAAAAATCTAACACAGACAACTAAGTCCCAAAATTTGATATTTAAATAAACAAAATGTCAAATTTCAACCATCAATACAAACTACAAGTAAAGTTTGACAAACAGATTTACAATGCAATAACAAAGGAGCATGCTCGTTTGTATGATTATTTTCTCACTATTATTTCAAATATAATTGAATATACTTTTGAATGATTTATGTACAAAATTGGAGAATATGACTACAGAAGATAGTGTAACAAAATAATGATGAAATATAAACGAGCTTCTAATATTATATTAATTTATAAGAAATTAATGTAAAATAAGAAGTATCTGAATGAACAAGGACGAAGAATTATTAAATTCAAAGTACTTTAAGCAAATATCTAAAAATATTATTATCATGCTATTAAAACAAAATAATATAATAACAAAAAATATATATATATATTAACTATTTTTGTATTTTCAATTTTTATTAGTTTCTTATGTTTGCATACGATAATTCTATTTTCAGAATTTTATAAATATAATTTTCATTTTTTTTCAACCAACCAATTAATTTCACATAATTTGGGAGCCCTTATCAAAGCAGGGCCTTAGGCGATTGCCTACTTCACCTCATGGCCGCCACTGCTTGGACAACTCAGTTATTTCCTTAGTGTCGAAGCACAATGACCCAATGAGAGTCTTCATCTCAGGCAAGCCACGTACATCACGGATCTTCTTGACCACACAAAGATGATCAATGCCTAACCACTAGCCTCTCCTACAACTTCCAAGTGTAAAACTTTCTTCTTATGATGGAACGTTGCTATCTTGTTGGAGCCAGGAAGATATGTTAGGATGGGCAGAAATTTGAACTTTTTATTTTTAATACCATGAAAGATTCTCTTTGCCACTTGTGATTTAGTTTAAAAGGTTAAACTCTTGAAGCTAATGACAAAGTGGGTCAAAATATATTTTTGGACTCTCATGACAAAATTCTAACAAATATATTTTTAACTGATAAAAGTAATTATAGAGCATATTAGTTATTTTGATAATAACATCCATTTCATGGTCTTTTGGATAAAATTTGTTTTAAAGTGAAAAGGATTTCTAGACCTACCTTTTCTTTGAAATTAATATTGCATCCTACCTTTGTATATTAATAGAAATAGCTAATATAAGGAGAACAATGTTCTAAAAGGCGTAATGTGTGGCGATACGTGGAGACTAAGCTATGAGCTACACGTGAGTTTAGGCGTAAAAAGCTGTAAAAATACGTTTTCATATTTTAATTTCTAATAAATCAAAAAATTATTTAATAATTAAAAATAATAGTTACTAAACATTTAAAACAGATTTATAGGAACGTTATACATTTTTTCAAAGTTTCCAATAAAAAGATAAGTTTCAAATTTAAATACAAAATAGTAAATAAATAGTATAGAAACTTAAATCTTATCTAACTCTTTATCGGCAATTCAATATCTCCTTCTTCATCTAATTCATCCTCCGCATCTTCCGATACAGGTGATTGTTTTAAATTATGGTAAAATGAAGAAATTAACCATTGATAATTTTTTAACATCACAAAATTTAAAAAAAAAAATTAAAAATGATGATAATGAGTGCATAATTGTACCTAGACGCACCTTAGCTGTCAACAGTTGCCGTTAACCATCAAATAAGGTGTCAAGCCACTTGACTTAGCGTTTTGGCCGAACATCGCATCTAAACGCCGCCTTTTAGAACACTGAAGGAGAGAGATTACGGCACTTTGCCTACCTTCCTCAGTTGAAATCAATAAATTTTAAAAGTTTATAAATTCACATATTTCTATTTGAGATTTAAAATTCATTAAAATCTATGTGTTTTCAATTGAGATTTACTAAAACTTATTAAAATCTAGGTATCCCTAATTGAAATTTTAATGAATCAAATATGTGTATCCTTAAAAACTATGAAATAATAAAGATTTCAAATTTTAAATACGAATAAGGTCATCTAGCACTATTGGTATTATATAACTCAATCGATGTGGCACTATAAATAGACTCAATAAAAGGTTTTTGTGCATTATTTAATTGTAACTTTTATTTAACATCATATATCTCCCCTCGACTGTTGTTATTAGAGCATTTCAAAGAAATTCTTTAAATATGAATGCTCTCTATTTTAAAAAGTTAACCATTAAAATCATGCTCAAAGAGATTCTTTAAATAAACATTTTAACTTCGAGATTGGATTTGAAATTGAGAGAGCCAAACTCGCTATCCATAATTAAATGCATTCATATTATTTCAATTTTTAATGTAAGATAAATAATATAATAATTTAGAGAAAATATAGTTAAAATAAAAAATATATATATATATAGAAAAATAATAAATATTTTCAAAGAGTAATAAAATTAAGTATTAAATATAAAGAGTTTATTGAAATACTTCAAAATTTTTACTCTCTAAATTTATAGATGCTCTCTAAATAATAAAATATCCTCTTTAAAAAATAGAGAATCTTTTGAAAATGTTCTTTATATATATATATATATATATATGCTTAATAAATAATAATATACACACGAGATGAATATATAAAGATGTGATTTTCTTATAAATGAAGTCGCTGTTTTAGAATGAAAACAAAAGACGGTTGGAAAAGAAATAAAAAATAAATTCCGCCCCCATTACGTTATGTAAATGGCAGTAACTGAAAATATTCTAATCTCACCCTACCCGTTATCATTACAGAATAAAATAAATGTGAGAATGTAAAATGACAAGGTTGAGGGACGTGAATCATAAATTCGGAAATATGAGTTATTCATACTATTAATATAGTTCCAAGTAAAATATTTGGGAAGATAATGAGTGAATTTTTTTAAAAAATGTAACGATGCACAACATGTTAATTATAGTACTTATTAGAAAAGAACTAACAGACGAATTTAGGAATTGTACTGTAATAATTATAGGAATTGATTTTTTGACCGTTAGAAAGAATAATGGATTTTACCTGTGTGAGAAGAAGTCAAATATGACAACTGACTTAGAGAAGTAACGGTCAAAATTTTGATTTTTTGGGGTGAAAAATCAGAACTAGACATGCACTTAATTCTCTATTCAATCTTGTGAAATTAT